GAAAATCCTTCCTCTGCCACATACTAGCTGTGTCACTTCAGGGCTAATAACAGTTATTTCCAAGGATTACTGTGGAGCATAAAATGAGATCACTCAGTGTGACTCTACCCTGCTCCATGACTGGCACACAATAAGTGCTCCAAAAATGTTAGTTCATCAATAGGCCCCAAAGAAAGGAAACTCAAAATGTCCCTTGCTTTGTAATCTTCTCAAGCTTCCACCAGGGTTTCTGAAACCTAAACCTATGAAATTAATGGACTGCATCATAAGAATACAAACAACCCAATTTCATTTAAAAAAAGAATGGGCCAAAGATTTGAACAGACATTTCACCAAAGAAACACACAGATGGAAAGCAGGCACATGAAAAGGAGTTCAACATCATGAGTTAATATAAATTAAAGCCACAATGAGATAACATTTCATACCTGCTAGAATAACTAAAATTAAAAATACTGACAATACCAAGTGTTGGCAATGACTCAGGCACTGATGGTAGAGATGCATGATAGGTGTATTTTGAACAGCTGGTTTTGAAAGTAAATTGACAGCTTCTTATAAAGTTAAACTTATCATACAACTCGGCAGTCCCATTCCTAGGAATTCACACAAGAGAAATTAAATGTATATCCACATACAAGAAAGTCTATAGGATCTTTATTCATAAAAGCCAAAAATCAGCAAACAACCCAAATGTGCATCAACAGATAAATGGATAAATATGTGTGGTACATCCATACAAAGCGACTATACTGTTAGATGGAGGAACTACTGAGACACCAAAATGAGTGAATATTAAATACATGTGTTAAGTTAAAGAAGTCAGATACAAAAGACTTATACTTTTTTACTCCATTTATATGGAATTCTGTAACAGGCTGGGGGAGGGGGAGGGGACTGTCTGCAGATAGACACAAGGAACTCTGTGGAGGTGACAGAAACATTCTACATCCTGTTTGGGGTGGTAGTTACACAGGTATATATATACATTTGTTAAAACTCATTAAACTTATACTTAAAAAAGGTGAATTTTACTGTCTATAAATTATATGCCAGTAAATCTTACTTTAAAAAGAATATAGATTGTAATGCCATATGATTTCACTTACATGGGGAATCTAAAGAACAAAATAAACAAAATGGAAAGAGACTCATAGATACAGAAACAGACTGATGTTTGCCAGAGTAGAGGGCGCTTGGAGGGCTGGGTGAAAAAGGTGAAGGGATTAAGAATTACAAATATATACTTGAAAAATAGTCAGGGAGATGGAAAGTACAGCACAGGAAACATAGTTAATAACATTGCTTTAAATATGTACGGTGTCAAATGGGGGCTTAAAATATTGGGGGGGGACCACTTTGTAAAGTATGTGATTGTCTAACCACTACACTGTACACCTGGAACTAATAAAAATAATAATGAATGTAAACTGTAATTGAAAAATTAAAAAGAAATTTACGTGAAGACATGTAAAGTGTTAGAAATGCACCACTGACTTGCAAACCTATAACTGTTAAACAATAGTTCTTCTGAATATTTTGATAAATGTTTTAAATTGTGCTTAACTATTGTTTAAATATATGATAAAAAAAAAAAAGAAAATAGATTGTAAAATATAGGGAGTCTAGCCTGGAAAGGGGGATGTAACCAGAGGAAAGAGATGGAAGTGAAAGCTTGGGAAGGAAGGATGGATGGACAGGGCAGACCCAGCCACTAGTCGTTGGGAATGGGACATAACCTGTGCCTTTGGTTATTGGGGAAGCAAACCAAAAAAAAGGGAGACACTGGCCAGTGTCTCCATGGGTCCCCCGGTCTCATTTCACTTGGCTACTTCTAATGCCTGTTAGACAGGCCAACATTTTATCTTTAAAGATGTGTTAAGAGGTCCCACCTGTAAAGAATAGGCTAGCAGAGGCACTGCTCCTGCTGCCCCCAGTTACATTTCTGGCTAAGCTCTAGACTGCTTTTGAAAAAAATTACAAGTGGAGACAACAGCCTAGTCTAAGAAAATGAGTCTTTCTCACAATTGACTTTGACTCTGTCAAGGCTGCACCCATGACAAAGGGAAGACCATCTCAATCTTGATGCCTGGGTGCCCATAGCAGTTCACAGAGCCCAATGCATAAGCACACAGAGGTCTACAGAGAAGTGAGGACAGTAAAGTCAAGGGATGGCATGGCATGGGATATGCATGACAGGGATATCAGGTTTGGAGGGGAGTGTTGGGTAAAGGCCACAACCTATTCTTTCTCAAGAAAGATTACTTTATTCAGAAAAATTTATTGATTTATTTTTGTGTGTGTGCCTAAATGGCCACCCTTCCCTGACCAAGAAGCAGATATCTGATCCAAGCAAGGCCAGTTAGATATTCCCTCCATGGACTCTGACACTTGAACAAAGTGACATGAGGCAAAAAATGGCTGGAATTTATCCCTCTGTCAGAGTGCTTGAGAGACCATTCATCACTTTCTAAGACTTAGATCTTCTAGATTCCCTGGCTTCCTAATAACCAGTTGTATCATTTATCCTTTGATTCTGTGATTACCTTACTACTTTACAGTAAGATACTCTTTTGCTCAAATTGAAGTCAGTTTCTGTTGCTTGCAACCAAAGAGCCCTGAAAGGATACAACCTTTTTGTAGCTCAATTGTTTTTTTAAGTGTTAAAAGTTGCCACCCACTCCTGGGAATCCATAAATGTGATGTGTAAAAGCAGATCAGTCCATTGGCTTTATTAATGCCTTGCATGTACTCCTGGGGCCTGAGCCGGGATGTAGGGGCCTTCCATCCTGGTCCTCTTGGCTTTCCCAAGAGAGGAGCAGTCTATTGACAAGTCTGAATAAAGGATAACTCTTTCCTAACCTCCTGCCCACCAGGAAAAGACATGGGAACATCCCAAGGCCAGCAGGGCAAAATTGGGTCATTGAGCACCAATTTGGTTTGATTGTAGAACAATGTGTTTGTATCATTCCAGCCCCACGACCTCCTGGGGCACTGAAAATTCTAGGTGAACTTGGAGCCCCAACTCACTGTCCTTTTCATGACCCTGGGCCCCAACCGTAATAACACTAATCACAATTATTATTACTCACTGTTGCTGAGCAATCAGTACCTATGAAGCACAGAATCAAGGACTTTGTCTTATCTCATTCAAGCTGCACAATAACCACAAGTGGCAGGCACTATAATTATTCCTATTTTACAGGAAAAAAAAACAACAACCCACAAAACTGAGATTTAGAAAGATCAAATCCTTATCTGAGGGTAAGAGCCAGCGAAAGAGCCAAGATCAAACGGGGGGGAGGGGGTATCTTTCTGATTTCAATCCTAATCAGAGCCAACATTCTCAATCACAACGGCTTCCTACCCGGTGCGGGCAAGTTTCTGCTCTGTGCTGGAAATCAGGGTTATCCCGGCCAACACAATGCAAAAACAAAAGGGCTTCCACTATTTTTCATGCCAGGAACAAACACCCAAGGGGTTAGGCTTCAAAGTGAACTGTCTTGATTTTATCAATTGCCTTTTCTCCTCTACTTGCCACCTGAGACTTCGCTGTCCTCTGCGTACTGACAAACCCTATCTTACCTGGAGCAGGAATGTTTTTCAGGATGAAATAAAAAAGAAAACTATCGCTCCCCATAAGTTAACAGCGCTCAAGAGCTCTGCCAAAGTTGCAGCCCTCATAGGGCTCGCTGCAGTGTGAGACGGAGTTCCTGGGCCTCCACCTTTGTTCCTCGCAAGCGGAGTCCACCCACCAGGAAAAAAGGGTGGGGGAGAGCTACCCTGAAGTTAAATTTGGCTCTTCAATACCCTCTCAGAAGGCCTTTCAGGTGTAAAGAAAGTCTTAAGTCCTAGAAGGATAGAACAGACGACATCAATATGTTACACATTCGCTCAACAAAAATTGACTGGACAAGTTTAGCTACCAGTGCTGGAGCGATGGCAATGGCTTCATTGTCCTATACATATAATAACTAAGCGGGATGCTAACATTAAGGGAAGGGGCGTAAAGGACCTATGGGAACTCTCTGTCTGACTTTGCAACTCTTCTATAAATCTAAAATTCTGTCACAATAAAAGGCTTTCATGAATGCCCCGGACAGGCTGAGGAAGATTCCCTACAGCGTCCTCTGTGGGACTGACAGTTTAGGACAGCGTCACCGAGGGAATGCCGCCGAGGTGAGGCTCTGGAGTCACATTCACAATCAAGTGCCGCTGGCAGCAACGGCACAGAGTCTCTCTAGTCCAAAACCATAGGAGTAACAACGTACTTGCAAACCAAGGTTTAAATGAGAGCTCAGCAATAAACAAAAAAGAGAGTTGGCCACAACACCTCACATCTGGGCCATAAACATACACTTAATACACATAAAAACATCATGGTAAATATGGGGGGCAGTGAGAATAAGAGTGGGGGGGAGAGAAAGAAAGAAAATGGAAAAATATATGAATCAAATGAAGCTAAAGCAGATAAGAAAGAATCAGTTACATCACTCATCTGAGATCAGGGGAAGAATTCAGACATCTGTGTAAGTAACTTGGTACCGTAGAAGCAGTAAGGTACTGGGATGCTGGTCCTTGGCACAGGGAACTTTTTTTCATGTTTTCCTTACAAAGTTTCAGAACTACCCACCTAAGGATTATTTAGCTCAAGCAAAGCATTTCAGAAGGGTTTTAAGAGGCACTAAAAGGATGAGATATTTAAGGCCCACAGAAAAGTCTGCAAGAAAGTTTTGGGGGTAATCAAACTCAGGGTCGAGAAGACTTCCAAGGATTTGAAGGTCTCTTTTTTCAAGGACAGTGACCCTTTAATCTTCATCTGTAAGACTAGAAGGGAAGAGTTTTGTCCAGTTTAGAGAGCCTCCCTTCAGATATGAGGAAGATGTTCGAGATAACGGGTGAGGAAATATCTCACTAGGTCCCCAAAGGGGGTTCCCACACTGACTCTGGATGCCACTGGAAGGACGGGAGACTGCTTTTCGTAAGGGTTTAATACAAACCTGCCTCAAAGCACAGAGGACGGATAAATGGCTGATTTCAGGTCTTTTCCAATTCATGGAATCATAGCAGACATAGCATGTAGTTGCTTTAACGTTTCTCTGAAGAGTACTTGCTGGAGAGGAATCGGGCATTGTTATTCTAGGAACAGAAAGCGCCAGTCACGTCATGAAACTCCGGTGTAAAAAAATCCCGACTGATCCAGTTTTCTAACCTTTCCTCCTATTTCAGAGACTTTCTGAAGACGTATGACCGTGTACCTGCAGTTCAGGAGACAAGCCGATCGGGCTCTAAGCCCTGATTTATTTTCCAATAAGACAACTGGGATAAATTCATAAGAAAATAAATCATGGCCGCAAACCAGAGTCAGAAAAAAAATAAATAAACGCTACTACTCCCCTGACGGTTTCAAGGGGAAGGGGTGTTAATATCCATCGGCATCCTATGTTGCTTGGGGAAGATTTAAGATAAATAATACCATATTCAAAAACTCATATTTTATTACTCTCATGAATGAAAAGAAAACATAACAGTTCAACACATCACATCTGTACTTTACTGTTTTTAAATCCTAGGTGATCATCTCCCAACCTCACCCCAAACGCTTGGTAAAACCACATCTCACTTCATCCCAGGTTGTCTCCCATTTACATGTTAGAACAATTTGGTCAGACACCCAAAGGCCTCCCCGCTAATGAAATCAGGAATTGCCAAGGAAAATCAATGTAGAACCTGCCTTAGTATCCACCAAAAACAAAAAGACTTATTCAAGTCTAGAGCACGGCAGCCGTCCTCAAACTCTCAGAAGAGCCAGCAGGAGCGGAGCAGAGGCGAGCAGAGGGGGAAACGCGGCTGGTTTCTGGGCTAAGGGAAGGGTGCGAGACCGTTTCTCAAGGCAAACACCTGGAGGGAAAAATGAGTATTTTGTGTCCACCTGAAGAAATGGCAGACAAACAAACGTGAGGCAAGTCACAGCAGGGGAAGGCTCAATGACCTGAGCAGCTGACTAGCGAGCTGTGGCCAGCGGGCTCTGGGTCCCTCACCTGCTCCTGGCCGCAGCGCCCTGCCTTCCAGCCCTCAGCTGGCACAACACCGGGCAGTGTGCTGGGGCACCCGAGGGAACCGAGTAAGCGCGGGGCTTTGCTGATGGCGGGGATTTCTCACGCTCGGGGCGCGTGAACCCACAGGATGGAAACGGCGGCAGGGCCCGTATAGCTTACTGCCCTCCACACCTCCTCTGCAAGAGACTTAGGGTCCAATCAGCCAGCATGATGCTCAGCTATGGCTCTTTCCTAAAACTGGGCACAGACGGTCCCTGAAAGTAGTAAACATGCAGTCCTGACAGAATTAAATATTCATGAAATCAAGAGCGACTGGAAAGCTGAGGGCATTAGAATATTAAAATTCATCACAGCTTTTACAATGTAAATCTTGTATGCGTCTGTCAGGCACCCCGGTCCGGTCTGGAATGTGCTGAAATTCCTGTTTCTTGGTAGACTGCCACTTAAATTACAATATTGATTTTGGTAGATAAACAACAATCTCAATCCTTAGCTCAGTTTTAATACACAAAACAATTTTGAACATTTGCAGATGCCAACTTGTTAAGTGAGCCTGTCTCCAAATACAGAACAGCAACGCTCAACGTGACCCCGGTATGTCCCAGATCTTGGCTGAATCCACTAGCACCTTGGGACAGGCCCAACCGAGACCCAGGCAACCTCCTACCAGGGGCACTTCATGGCCTGCAACCCTTTCCTAGCCGGGAGAAGTGACTATTCTCCTGCACGCCTCCTTCCGTGAGCAAAAGGGAGGAGGCCTACCGACTGACCCTTCTTCGCTTCCAATATTCCGATGTGTTGAACCAACTTTTCCCCAATCGCGGCAGCACGTTTGAAAATGTATTAACAATACATGTGTGCACTTTGTACAGACACAGCCGGTCGACAGCAGCTTCCCCAGAACTGAACTCCAAGCGTGTGTGAAGAAAGAAGACTGGGCTTGGACACAGAGCTGTGATAAACACACTCGAAACAATATTACCAAGGCATTCTTTCCTATGGCATTTCATCTACTTTACAATTTTCTCAGCAGGAGAGGCACCAGCGCCCGGGAACGGCATGTGCACGATTTCTTACTGGAATCCAGTTACCTGGAGACCCCTGTCCCCTGGTCTGCAAGGACACCCAGGCTCACCTGCCGCCAGGCGCCGGCCCCCGCCCTCCCCGGGAGGGGGCCTGGAGTTTACAGCCGGGCTGGGCAGTGATCTCCATTCTATGAAGGAGCCAAACTTTGCTCCCATGGTTGCACCTCTGGGTGGGCGGCACCTCGCTCCCAGGGGCCTCGGGCGCCACTTGGCAGCTCCTGAAGACACGCTTGCCCCTGACCTAGATCGTCCGCCTAAGCCCCGGGCGTGCCGTGCGGGGAGCAAAGGTCTCTGGGCACTGCGCCCCCGGGGCGCGGGCGCTCCCCTGGCATCACCCCGCACCGCACGCGCCCCGAGACTTTCCCTGCACACGCCGCGCGACGCGGAAACCGGGCAGACTTCGGCACGCGCCTTGCAGTTGGGAAAGTCACCGTCCAGCCCGTCGGTCCCTGAAATCTCACGCCTTCCCCGCAGCCGCAGCCCCGCCACCGCACACACGAGGGGAAGGGGTGGGGGAAGCGGCGGGTTTAAAGTGACAGCCGCTACGAGAGCTCCTCGGTTTTGTTCCAAAGGTGTCACAGCGCCAGCACCGGGGACCTACCTTGCTCTCTCCCTTCTCGGGGCCGGGTGTCGCCTCGGGGTCGTCGCTGTCCTCGGCTCCTGCGCTCTCGCCGGGCAGTTCATCCTGAGCCAGCGGCTGCGGCTGCGGCTGGGG